TTGAATTGTTTTTCTGGGCATTTCATTGATTTCATTCAGGTTAAGATGTATTTCTAGAGAAATATGCTCTTTTAGGAATGTCATGCTTCCTTGCTACTTCATCTTTCCTTTGTTCCTATATTAGAATTTTTTTTTTCTGTGCATCTGATATACACTGGAATTATAACATTTAAATGGAATGTAGGATATCACTTGGGTGGTGGAGTTGGTTTTGTTTCCAAATGAGCCCAGAAGTACAACATCTGAGTGATTTTAGCTTTAATCAATGGCAGCAGTGTTTATGAGTGTCATAGTTGTCTACTCTGGAGCATTTCATTGAGGAACAAGTATGATCTTGAAGTTGATGTGGCCTGCCTAGGATATGTATCTGCAATCTCCAGAGAGTTGTGTCTCAATAACTTCAAGGTTTCTGATGGGTGTAGTTCCTTCTTGGTGCTTAGGGAAGCAGATGGGGCTGTTCCCTTGTTTTGTCAGGCAAGCTTAAGTGATGCTGAGCCTTGGGGCACCAGCAGTTCTGGGCTGTGTGATGTGGATGGAACTGTTCCCAGGTTCTGCCTGGACAGTATGACTGGTGCTGGGGCTTACAGCACCAAAAGCCCTAGTCCCAGCACAGGGAATATTAAGAGGACCTTGCCTAAGCAATATAGTAATAATAGTAATATAGTAATAACAGTCTCAGCCCTGGAACTGAAGGATGCAGTGGGGTCATTACCCAGGTCCCATAGAGCCATTTGTGTTGGGGTTTGTGGACTGGCAGCCATCAGCCTGAAGCAGACAAATGCAGGTAGGACTTTCCAGATACTGCAGGTGAATGTGAGTTCCCCCCAGGAATTGTAGCACCAACAGCAACAGTCCCACGTCTGCAGGGCATAGATAGAATTGCCCCCAGTCCCCACAAGACATGCAAAGGTGGCACTGGGGTTTGTCCTCTTGGCATACAGGACTATGTGCTAGTAGATGCAGAGGAACCTTCCTCAGTTCCTCTTGGATTTTTTATGATATGCTGTGGTGTTGAGCAACAATAGACCAAGGGCAACATCCCTGGATCATGCAAAGCAAGTGAACATGGCTCCAGGGCTTGTACTGTGAATTTCCACAGCTTCAGGGGACCCACTCTCTACCCTGGAAGGTGCCTGGCCTCTGACTCTGGTGGCTTCTAGTAGCACTGGGGATGTTTGCTATTCCTTAAGTCAGAATAGAGATCAGCAGTGTATCTACCACAGCAGCTTGGAGTCTGATGCTTTGGGAGCAGAAGGGTGCAATATAGGTTCCTTTTGGGGGACAAAGTAGTTGCCCGGACCACAATCAGCTCTCTAGGCTAGATTAAAAGTCAGTGAAGATTGTGACATTATCCCATAGTCAAGGTTGCTCTTCTGTGGTTGGAGTAGGGGTGACATGGTGTTTTCTTATTACCTTTTCCTGGCAAGATGTTTACCCCCCGCTTGAGAAGCCAGTGAGGAAGTGGCTATGACTCACTTTGTTCCTCTCTCTCTACTGGCTTTAGGAGTCTCTGCTGTTTGCCATTCTGTCACATATTTCCTGAAAATTTCCAAGCAGTCCTCTGGAAATGCGATCAATCCTTGATTATTTTGGTATTTTTCTGTGGCTGAGGTTACTGAGGCTTCTCACTGTTCAGTCATCTTGTTCCCTCTTTCACATTCTTCTTTGAATCTACCTGTCATTCCCCTACCACAAATACCCTTTTTGACTTCTTAACTTTCTGACCAATGCCCACAACTTTTTCAAGTTCAAACACAAGAGTCATTTCTTTTTTTCAAAACTTTCTTTGAAGCCTAGATTCCTATATACATACATATATATATATACACACACATATATATGCATAGATAATATATATAGTCTAAAGATTTAAAAAAATTAATAAACTGGGCTTTTTTGAAAACTTCACAGAGGGGTGAGGTCTTCATAATCAGGGAACAGGTATTTGGGAATTTATTGGTTTACATAAATTTTTGTCTTAATTTGATAAATCTTAAATGTTATTTCTTATTCAATTTTATATTTCCAGTGCAGTATATACTAATAGGAAGTATTTAAATAATATTTAAGAATGAAGCAGTGTGAGGTCGGTGCTGTGGTGCAGTGGGCTAAGCCTCTACCTGAGGTATCAAAATCCCATATGGGTGCTGGTTCATGTCCTGGCTGCTCCTCTGATATGGCCTGGGAAAGCAGTAGAAGTGGGCCCCTGCACCCATGTAGGAGACCCGGAACAAGCTCCTGCTATGGTCACTAGTTTGAGTCCTGGCTGCTTCACTTCCAATTCAGCTCTCTACTATGGCTTGGGAAAGCAGTAGAATATGGCCCAAGTCCTTGGGCTCCTGCACCCATATGGGAGACCCAGAAAAAGCTCATGGCTCTTGGCTTCGGATTGGCCCAGCTCTGGCCATTGCAGTCATTTGGGGAAGTGAACCAGCAGATAGAAGACCTCTCTTTCTCTCTCTGCCTCTCTGTAACTCTGCCTTTCAAATAAATAAATAAGTAAGTAAGTAAGTAAGTAAGTAAGTCTTAACAAAAAAAATACCTGTGAGACTCACAACAATGCCAGAGCACCCGCAAGAGGATACCAGCAATGGCCAAAGAGTGGTAATGTTTGTGTGTGTGTGTGTGTGTGTGTGTGTGTGTGTCTGTGCATGTGAACTGATATAACCTTTTTTCACAAATTTGCCATGTATCAATCACTGGAAAGAAGATTTTATGTAGAGTTATTAGTGAGCTTGTCTTTCAGGGGAACAGGGGAAGAGGCAGAGGCAGAAACTAAGATAATCTCAGTAGGAAGAAATTTACTCTCTTCCTGAGACACCATCTGTAAAAGCATTCCCTGTGACATCTGAAATGGATTAAGAATGATAAGTATAGCTACTATAAATAGATAGCATTCACTGAGTATATATTATGTGCCAGGCAATGCTCTAAGTTCTTTGCATGCATTAACTCATTTAATCACTGCAGCAACCTGGCGAGACAGATTCAGTTACTATTCCTTTTTCCAGATGAGGAAACAGAACCTGCCAGGTGAAATGGTTTGCCCGGGGTCACTCAGGCAGAGGTAGACATAAATCTCAACCCCAGTCTAGTTGTTTTTAAAGCTTACCAAAAACTCTCAGATCCCTCTCTAGCTGCATACTTCTATAATGAGTACAGTTATATATGACTTGGATTTTATTTTGAAAATAAGGAGACATTAAGATGTTTCTTTCTAGCCAGGATTTTATAGCTGTTAAGGAACTCAGTTTTTCTACTGAAAAGCTATAAAATCATAAGCAAGTTCCTAATCTCTTGGAATTTCAATTTTTGCTTCTCTAGAATGGAGGTAAAAACCCTTCTCTGTGTTTTTGGAGGGATTAAATAGATAGTATATCTAAAACAGCTAGCACAGGGCCTAGATTATGAGGTGGCTTTAATAAACATTAATTTACTACGGGGCCTAGTAAGCTAAAATGGCATTTTCAAATTAAAGTCATATCAAATATTAGAGATAGGATGAGAGCAAATAGATCATTGCTCGGGTGGATAAAGGTGCCTGTATTTGCACAATTCTTTAGAGAACCATGAGGATTATCTTTGCTGCAACCCTCACTTTAATTAAAAGCATAGAGATCAGACTTTTCCACATGGGAAGAAGTTTACATTTGATTTATGCCACAGATGCACATTTTCAGCATCCAAATATTCCATTCCCTGGCTAGAGATATTACAAGCTACTTCAGCAACCTGATATTGCAGAATAAATGAAAAATGCCTAATCATTTAAAAAGATATTCCAAACAATGGAAAGGACAAAGCATACATATGTACCAGTGAGGAAAGTGAACCAGCAGGAAGTCAATTCTAAGGCTTACAACTGGCTTTGATTAGAGAGGCAGGATACCAAACTAGAACAGGTCATTTCTCTTTTTTTTTACATAAAGGGTATTTGTGTGTGTGTGTGCGTGTGTGTGTATGTGTGCGATTTTAGTTTTGGTGAAAGTATTATTCATGGCAAAGTTACAGAAAATTGTGTGAAATACTAACATTTTGTAAAAGCAATGTCAAGCTGACTTATATTTGAGCGTATTATTTGTATGCATTTGTGAATATATGGAAGGTTCATGCCAGGCTGTCAAATTGGGTACCTTAAGACAGGTAGGTAATTCTGGAGAGAGTATGAAGGGGATTTTTGTTTCTTTATTATCTTTGTATTTCTTTGCCAGTTGTAATGAGTGCGCATAACTTTAAAACAAAACATTTAAAGATAAAAAGGTGCATTTCTTAATATTCATCCACTCACTCACTAATTATCCAATTTTTTTGAATATTTACTGATGATCATTTAAATACATTGAATTGGTCTTCTCTGAACTGTCAAAACTGACTTTTTTATAGGAGTGCTGACTAAATTTGGCTTTATTGTGGGATTAGTAATATGGTTCTCACTCTTAGAATCCTGTTCCATTATCATTTAGAATTATGAGATGTATTAGATTCAATCATTTGGAGAAACTTCTCTCCTTTCATTTCTACCTATAGTTACTATATTGCCAGATTGCACTGTAGTTATTGGTGGCAAGAACATGGAAATTTCTGTGGTCCTTTCACTAACCAAATAGGTAAGATTAATATGCTACTTCCTGCCTTTTGAATGTCGGCATTATCTTCTTCCCCCAAATAATATCATCCTATAGTATGGTTGGAAGGCTCCAATGAGATCAGATAGGAAAACTTAATAATTTGAAGGTGATGGACAAGTGTTTATTACTCTTTCTCCCCACACACACAAAAATGCTATTTGCTTCATAACGCAGGACAGTTACTCATGCTTACCACTATTTTCAGGTTTCCTCTTGAGGCAAGACTTTAAGTTTCTCAGACATTGAAATCTTACCCATTCTTCAAGATACAATTCAACTGGCACTCAGAAGCTTTATTCTCAAAATAAATTGAAAATGTGATTTTCTGTTGGCAATGGAAGTAAACTCAATTAACCAACAAACAAATCTGACCTGGTGTAGTCATCTTCAACAAGCATGTGCTTTGGAATTGGCGAGTACCTTCCTGGAGAGATGGGTGGCAGGGAGGTTTTGTATTCTAAAGTGCCGTTGTTGCCAGAGAGTAGATGGTTTTCCATTGGTGGAGAATAAGCTAAGGGGTAGGAAAAAAATAAAAGGACCTGTTATGTGGGTGATTCAATGTGTCATTCTGTACTTCAAAGGGTGTGTTAAAAATAGAAGGGCTTGCTACATGCCTAATATTATCTTGTCCTTCAAAAGGGAGGAGTTGCTGTTTGATTTAATATATGCAGGCACATGGTGGTGACCTTTAGGATAAGAAAGATGTAATAAGAGCTATATCTGTAACCCAAATTAGTACAATTAGGTGAAGAGAAGAATTGGAGGAGAGACCCAGCACACATTTTCAGAATGATGACAAATTTTCTATTAAATAAGAATGTGAGCTTTATAATTGCAGAGCTCACATAATTAGCATTCAGTCATAAAGAGCACAGCACTCCCAAGGAACAAGGATTTTAAAAAATGTCTATTTATTTTTATATATTTGAAAGGCAGAACATCAGAAAGAGAGATAGACAGAGACGGAGATGAAAAGGAAGAGAGATCTATCTACTGATTCACTCTCACAAGAGCCTGCAACAGCTGGGGCTAGGCCAGGCTGAAGCCAGTAGCCAAGAACTCTACCCAGGTCTCCCATTTGGGTGGCAGAGACACAAGCACTTAACTCATGATCTCCTGACTCCCGGGATGCATTAGCAGGAAGCTGGATTAGAAGTGAAGTCACCACGACTGGAATTGGCACTCTGATATGGCATGTGGGCATCTCAAGTTGTGGATTAACCCACTGTTTCACATGCCTACCCCAGAACAATTTCTTGTGTAAGAATTTTTCCCAAAATATGTACTCCCTTCCCAGAAAGGTCAAAGAACTTTGCCAAAAGGTCTTCCTTTTCCATTGTTTTTTCCAAATTCATCTCCCTTTTGATTGATTGAAATACCCTAACCCCCATTTGGGTACCTGTTCCCTCCCTACTTCCTCAAATCTACTTTATACAATAGATAAAGAAAACACTCCTGAAACACAACTGTGATCCATTGTTCTCCTGCTGAGCCTCTATTACTACCATTGTATTGCATATATAGCATGAACTTTTCAATCTTGTAAAATTGATCCATATTAAACCCATTAAACCTCTCTTGTCTTCAAACAAAGCCTGTGCTTCATGATTTGGTTCAGTGTACCAACTGCCTATAATTTATTTCATCCACTCCAACTCAGACATTGAAAACTCACCTATTATTCATGACACAACTCAAATAACACTTTCTGTATAAAATTTTTTTCTGATCTTCCAAAGACAGATGATATATCTCCCTCCTTGGAGTACCCAAAGCATATTTATTTTTACCTCTCTTATGGCAACACATCCCTCTTTTTCTGCCAAAGATTGCTGCTATTTATATTTCTCAATTATCCTACCTTGAACCAAGCTCTTGATACAACCAAATTCCTTGAATGCCAATACGGTATCCCTTCTGTAGCCTACATTTTACCTTACAAGGTGACTTGCACATATTGAAGCTATTCAATGGATATTTTTCAAAGTTTTTAGGTAGTTTTTTTCTTTTTTTCTCTTTGACATTGACCTTATATGCCTTTCATGAAGTGCCTCAAAGGCTCTCAAGACTAATTTTTCTAAATTCATCTAGCTTGAAAGACTGAAAGGTAAAACTGTTTCATATACTGAGGTAAAGCTAATCTTAGTTTACTGTCTTCTTGAAAAAAACACATTTTTGGGGGGAATGCTGCATTTTAGAATCACTATTAAGAAAAGCAACAGCTAATATAAATCCATAAATTTCTTTCAAGAGAAACATCTAAATTTAAGATAGGTTAATTGGGGGCCAGTGCTGTGACGTAGTGGGTAAAGCCACCACCTGCAGTGCTAGCATCCCATATGGGCACAGATTCAAGTCCTGGATGCTCTACTTCTGATCCAGCTCTCTGCTATGACCTGGGAAAGCAGTGGAAGATGCCCCATGTCCTTGGGACCCTGCAGGCACATGGGAAACCTGGACGGAGCTCCTGGTTCCTAGCTTTGAATTGGCACAGCTTTGACTGTTGCCGCCAATTGGAGAATGAAGCAGCGGATGGAAGACCTCTCTCTCTCTCTCTCTCTCTCTCTCTCTCTCTCTCTCCCTGCCTTTCCATCTCTCTGTGTGTAATTCTAACTTTCAAATAAATAAATAAATCTTTTAAATAAAAGATAGGCTAAATGACTTGCTTAAGACAATTGTCCTTGTAATGGCAGGTGTTGAAGACATTCTGAGTTCTTAGTGTCACAATTGGACCCTAAACATTTCATGTATTGGGGCTGTCATTGTGACACAATGTGTTAAGCTGTTGCCTGAGATACCAGCATCCCATATGAGCTCAGTTTGAGTCTCATTTGCTTCACTTCCAATCCAGCTCCATGCTAATATGCCTGGGAAAGCAATAGATGATGACCCAAGTGTTTGAGTCCTGGTTACCATGTGGGAAACTCTGATGGAATTCCTGGCTCCTGGTTTTGGCCAGGCCCAGCACTGGCTGTTGCTGCCATTTGGAGAGTGGTACATGATCTCTCTCTATCTCTATCTCTCTTTCTCGCTATCTTTATCTCTATCTCTAATCTCTCTATCTCTGTCTCACCTTTTCTTTTTGTGATTCTGCCTTTCAAATAAAAAATAAATTTTTAAAAAATTTTCACAAAAGGCCGGCGCCACAGCTCAATAGGCTAACCCTCCGCCTGCGGCGCTGGCACATCGGGTTCTAGTCCTGGTCGGGAGGCCGGATTCTGTCCTGGTTGCCCCTCTTCCAGGCCAGCTCTCTGCTATGGCCTGGGAATGCAGTGGAGGATGGCCCAAGTGCTTGGGCCCTGCACCCCATGGGAGACCAGGAGAAGCACCTGGCTCCTGCCTTCGTATCAGTGCGATGCACCGGCAGCAGCGCACTGGCCACGGCGGCCATTGGAGGGTGAACCAACGGCAAAAGGAAGACCTTTCTCTCTGTCTCTCTCTCTCTCACTGTCCACTCTGCCTGTAAAAAAATTTTTTTTTCACAGTGAACACACTTATTGATGTCAACAAAACCGTCCTTTAAATTCATAAGTGGGGTGGGCATTTGGTACAGTGGTTAAGAAAACTCTTGGGATGTCTTCCTCTCAGAGTGCCTAGTTTGATGGCCATATTTGCTTCTGATTCCATCTTCTTGATAATGCACAACCTGGGAGAATGCAGCTGATGGCTCAAGTACTTGGGTCCCTGCCACCCATATGGGAGATGTGGATTGAGCTCTGGATTCCAGGCTTTGGCCTAGCCCAGCCCTGACTGTTGCCTGTTGCGGGCATTTGGGGAGTGAACTAGTAGATAGAAGTTACTCGTTTTTCTCTCTCCTCTATTTCTCTCTCTCTGTATCTCTGTCTTCTCCTTCTTCCTTCCTCTATTTTTCACAAATAAATAAACTTACACCCAAAAAATTATTTCTAAATCTAGTCCTTAAAGGCAGAACCTTACATTAGGTTCCTGTTGATCTATTAAGAAGATGAGAAAACACTGGGCTTTTGTGAGCCATGAACTTCGTGAGGACTCCCATACGGAATCGCATCATTAGCTGTTGCCCTAGAAGCCCCTACTCTGAATACAACTCTGTTGCAATAGGGACATTATTTTTCCTAGCTTCCCCACAATATAGCCAATTCAAGGCAAGGTAAGGCCTATAATGATGATGATGATGATGACGACGACGACAATGTTGACTGAGGATAATTTCTCCACTGAAATCCTAGGTCTCTTCTCTCAGGAAGAAACATAGAGGTATCTCTGGTCTATTCTGTCCTAGTCATGTAATGTTTTGCCCTTAAATAATTGTAATCACACTGTCCACAGCATACACAACTAATCCTTCCCATAATGGTGGGTCTACCAACTCATCAAGGTATCCCCACTCCCAAACTCCAGGTAAATTTTGTAAAGTAAAACAGGGGTGAAAAGCCAAATACTCCTTCTACATGTTCCTCGAAGTGAGAGTGAAGAAACAAGCAGAGGACTTAAAAATAGAATTGTAAATTCTTATTTTGTAACATTGAATACTACTCAAAAACAACACTGAGCATGGTACTTACAGTGAGTAATATCAGGTGGACCATAAGGATCAGTCATGTAAATTGTGGTGGGTTTGCCAACTTTTAGATAAACTACATCTGATGTATTCTTCAATATTGCTACTGCCTCTTCATGTGTTACTTCTTCTAAACTGTAGTTGTTTACCTGAAAGGGAAAACAATTCAATATTAGAGTTAAACCTAGGCAGCAGAAGAGAAATATTGTCAGAAGGAACCAGGAATTATGATCTTATTTAAAGAATAAACTGTAATGATTAGTTTCGTATTTATATCATACTTTGACAGAAAAGGTGGATTAAGCATTAGCCAAAGCAGTTAAGGTATAGTCCCTGCTGCCATAAAACAATATTGCTTTTATCTTTTTCTACAAAGTTGTGATATATTATAGAAGAAATAAAAATAATGCTTGTGGGAAAAAGAAATGAAGGTCAGGTACTTTTTTAATTATATCATTTGTAATTACAAAGTAATATATAATCATTAAAGAAGGCAAAATAAATAAAAATCATTTCCCTATTTGGATATTTTTTAAAGGTTTATTTTATTCATTTGCAAGGTAGTTACAGAGAGAGGGAGGGAGAGATGGAGAGAGATCTGCCATCTGCCTATTCACTTTCCAAATGGCTGCAATGGCCAGGGCTGGGACAGGCCAAAGCCAGGATCCGGGAACTTCATCTGAGTCTCCCACATGGTGCAGGGGTCCAAGGACTTGGACCATTTTCCCAGGCACATTAGCAGGGAGCTGGATCACAAGTAGAGCATCCTGGATTTGAGCCAGTGCCCATATGGGATCCCAGCATCGCAGTTGGTGGCTTAACTTGCTAAGCCACAAGGATAGCCCCTTGGATATATTTCTTTGAGCAATCGCAGCCAGATTATACACATTCTTTTTGAGCCTATTTTTAAAATCTAGAGTGACTATTTGCCCATAACAATATTTTTCAACATTATGACTTGTTCTTCTGAGAGCATTGTAGTGCATAGCTATAACAACAATTTAACTAGTTTCTTATTACTGTATGTTTAATTTGTGTTCTTTGCTACTATAAGTATTGTTGCCAAAGTATTTTTCTATATTTGTACACAGCTTTAATAATTTCTTGGGGATAAATCATACAAATGGAAATGCTGGACCAAGCTAAAATTTTTGATGCCTTTTCTAAAATGATTTCTTGAAATATGAAACAGTTTATCAGTTTTCTAACACTATATGAGAGTCCCCATTTTCCTATAGCTTTACCAAACCTGAATTTTCTCATTTCAAAAATCCTTCTCTTGAAAATGTCATTGAACGTTTGTTCATTTTCCAAGGAAATAGTGTTAATGTTGGAACACAGGGCTTTGCAGGTAAGCAGGATCAACTATTGCCATAATTTTAACAATAATGCCCCTTTCTTTAATATACAGGAAAGCCTGAGTTGCAAATGCCATTCCAAATTCATGTGAATGGTATTCCAGTGGAATTCTGCAACACTTCTTTGAAATAGTTTTAAAATAATATTTCCAGAAAAATCTAGTCTTTGAAGAAATATTTGAAAAGAATAAATATTCAGAAATATTTTATTATTTTATTTTTCACTTTACTTGAAAGGCAGAGATAGAAAGCCAGATGGATAGAAATCTTTCATCAGCCAGCCCACTCCCCAAATGCTTACAACAGCTTGGACAGGGACAGGCTGAAGTCAGGAACCTGGAATTCAATCCCACGTGGGCAGCAGGGTTACAAATGCTTGAGCTATCATCTGTTCACTCCGAGGGAACACATTAGCATGAAGTTGGGTCAGATGCAGAGGAATAGCACTTGAACCCAGGCACTCTGCTAGGGGATGTGACCTTCCCAAGTGGTGACTTAACCACTGCACCAAATGCTTGCCCCCGGGAAGTATTTTAAATATCTATGTAGGTTACATTTACTGTATTACTATTTTTGTAAGGAGTGATTCTTGAGTTACTTTCTGCTGAAATGATGTATAATTAAAATAAATGTGCCAGGAATATTGGTTTGAATCCCTTCAGTGCAGTAGTTTCCCATTAGCAGTTTGGGATGCATTCTAAGACCTTCAATGGATACCTGAAATGGCAGACATCATCAGACCCTATATGTATTTTGATATATGTGTACAGATATGTTTACTAAAACCTATTAAGTGCAAGACACTGTGTTAGTTATGAGATATGATGGAAAATAATAAGAATGATAATCATAATCAAAGCAAACATTTATAAAGCCTGTACTAATTGCTAGGCACTACTCTGAACTATTTTATATAAAAGAGTACTTCAAAAATTTTGTGAAAAATGGAATTAAAAGGCAATGTATATGTTCCATGGCCTTTTGGAAGTACCTTTGTATATTAACAAAGTAAAATCTCATAACAACCTATGAGATGAGACAGGCACATTTCTAAGAGGTTAAGAAACTTGACCAACATCATTGATCAAATATAAGGCAGAATTCAAAACCAGGCGATTTGGACCATACTCAACCTATTGGCCATACTGCTTCTTCCAAGTAGACAAGGCCTCTGTTCTCACAAAATCCACATTAAAATAGAACTGTTGTTTGTAGAATGAATAGATAAAAGAATAAACCCTCGCATGGAGGGATAATGTGGAGAGCTACAGGAATGGGAACATAGTTGTTTATGTCAGCTCTTAATAATAGAGAAATAATAAAAACAATAGGGCTAACATCTGTTTAATACTTATTCGTTCTGAGGAAACTATGGCATATCTTTAACACAAATCATATAATTAATCCTCACTGTAACTCAGTGAGGTAGACATTAATAATTAGGCCTATTTCAAATATGAGAAAACCTGGTGTTTAAAGAACTTAACTTGGAACAGAGATCACACAGCCTCCAACAGGGCAAAGGCATCGTTAATCTTAGGATCTTGAAAGATGAAAATGAGAATGTCTTTGAGTACTAGTTCATTGAGTCCAGGGCCATTCATCATCTATTCTTCATCCCATTTAGAGAGGAGGGTCTTATTCCAAGTTTATACATAAAAGTCACATGAAATCTAAAGTATTATTAAAGTCTGAATAATTACAATTCTTGCTTAATCTAGTAGTTATAGTATATTGCATCACCTTAATCCACTGATGTAGTCAAATTACAAATAAATAAAATGGAAAGTAGTTTAATGTATCTCACTGTTTCTTTAAAATCTTCTTATATATCAGATTAATCACTTATTTTAGGGCAGTTGTGCTTAGAAAATGACTATATCCAAGTGATGATTTTGTATAATGGCTTGAAGTGTGTATGGAAGTGAGTGTTCTCTCCTAAAAAATACCAAAGGAGGCTCTGAATGCAGTCAGGACCCCCAGAAACATCTATATTGGAAAAACAAAAGAGAAACAGAAATTGTTTGTATAACACAAAAGGGATGACAAGCTAAGGGAAAAAGACCCCAAAGACTAGAAACTAACTCAATTAAATTATAAGTGGCACCGAAGTTCTGTTTCTGATAAGGGCTCATTGTTTCTCCCCAGTGTATAAAATGTCCATAGCTCATTTGATTATCAATGAGGGATGTGGTCAGTGTTTATTAAATGGAACTTTTTGTCATTTTTAAGCAGGCAATGAAACAATCCAGAAAAATGTGCTTTCATAGAAAGACTGCTTACAGAATCTTGGAGTATTTAGAAAATTTTTTGACCAGAAAACAAAAGTTGAAGACAAGATGGAATTAGTAAAGAGGGGGAGGATAGCAGGGGAAACAATAATGGTAGTTTACAATAGTGGTAGTTCGGTCACTTTTTTAAAAAAGATTTATTTACTTGAAAGTCAGAGCTACACAGAGAGAAGGAGAGGCAAAGAGAGAGTTTTTCTATCCGATGGTTCACTCCCCAATTAGCCGCAAAGCTGGAGTTGCGCCGATCTGAAGCCAGAAACCAGGCACTTCCTCCAGGTCTCCCACGCAGGTGGAGGGACCCAAGGACTTGGGCCATCTTCTAGTGCTTTCCCAGGCCATAGCAAAAAGCTGGATTGGAAGTGGAGCAGCCGGGTCTTGAACCAGCACCCATATGGGATGCTGGTGCTTCAGACCAGGGTATTAACCTGTTGCGCCACAGCTCCAGCCCCATTAGTCACTTTTTAGTTGGGCATGAAGTACTGAAAAATTTGTGATTTCAGTCATGGAACACGTGAATTATTATACCAGCAACAGGATGCATGAGTTAAGAACACAAGCTTTTGGGTCACACAGATTGAGATTTGAACCCTGGCCCCCACATTTCCTGGTTCTGTGACCTAGGGAAATATACATAACCTTCTAAGCTTCAATTTTGACATCTGTGAAACAGGAATGATAATATTCAATACCTCACAGGATTATTGATTTAAATGTGTCAGTTATGTAAAGTGGCAGACACACTAAAGTACTTAAGGCAAGGTATTATCATCATTACTATTGTCATTATCCATTTCTCCTCCCAGGAAACGCGATTTTTTAGTGAAAATTTTTGCTGACATTTTTCTGTAAACATCTGTGAACTGATGAGTTTAATTAGGGTACTGCTGATGAGGCTTCTGTGTGGACTTTTAAAAAATTCAGAACAGTACGGGATCTGGACCAAAAAGTTCTCTTTTGTGCTGAAGCTTTCAAAATGCTTTTCACAAAAGTGGGTTTGTTTGGGTTAATTATGTGTGTGCATTATCCTGTGAACTCTCAAGATAAAGGCCCTACAGCTGGAATTGATTGTATGCAGAGAGAAGGGACATTACACTGATTGGCTAGTTGCTCTTGTCATTGTATTTCATTGTCCTTTGTATTTTTTCATTTTTTTTTTAAATTGCATCAACTATCTGTCTATAATGACGAACGCTGAGCAACTGGCCTGATTTCAGGGGGAAGAAATCACAAGAGGGACTCTCCTGGAGGTGCACTATGGAGGGGGCACATGTGCTACCTTTCCATACATTCCCATTGGGAAAGAGAACTGGGACCAAGAGAGAGAGGTGAGGCAGTTCATTCTCCCAAAAGAAGAGGGAGCACTTCTTGAATTTGAGCATGATATAAAAGACAGCAAAGCAGCTGAAGAAAGAGGGTCCAGTAGACCTGCAATTAGGGGACACGGCAAGTTTTGTGGAAATCCAAATGAATGTAAGCAGATCAGTACGTGAGAATGCTGAG